TTAAATTTATGGAAAAAAGTTTCTGTTTTTAAAACCACATTTTTGTGTGGCAAACCGCAACCACCACTAATGCCTAAACGCCTCAAACCCAATGTGCGCACTTACAACAATAATTGTTTTTGTGTTTTTATTATTTATTTTTTGTGTTTGAAACACTCGTAACTGTAAACTAAAAACTAATATAACATACACACCTCTCACCCGCCGCAGCCACCGTACGGTTCACAACAACATCTCAGCGACAATTTCAATCAAATGCAAATGCAACAACAACAGCACAATTTCGGTTCGACACCACATCTTGCACATTCCCCATACAATCCACATGCCAATCTCTACAACTCGCGTCCGCCCAGCCGCGATCCCTACCAACAACAACAACAACAGCAACAAATGCCATCAATGCCAATGCAATATATAAACGAACACGGGCAATATGTGTCGCCACAGCAGCCGCCACCAATGATGCAACAACAACCRCACTATATGCAACCACAGAAGTTATATAACGATAATATGGTTCCTTACAACAACCACGTGTACGGTGGACCACCCGGTCCGCCGCAATACGCACCACACCACAACCAAACGCCACCACAATACATGAATCGGGCCAGCATGTACGATGATTATGGACGTGATCCGAGCTCACCACAACCGAATCCCATGTATCCGCATGAAATGTCGCCGCAACCGGCGCAACCGCAACGACGCACGTGGAATCAATCGGTGTACGAGCAACAACAGCAGCAGCAACAACAACAGTATCAGCAGTCGCAAGCGCCTTTGGTGGATGTGAATGCCTGGCAACAGCAAAAGCAACGTTCAACGCTGCCCATGGACGGCAATTACACTTGGAAGAAGTCCAATCAAATGGCGGGCAACAGTGGACGTGAAGGTGGTTTTGTGTTGCATCAAAACGATGGCGGTGGCGAGTATCAGCATCTCTTCCGCTCCTCACCGCAGCACATGCAACACAACAACAACGATGGCGGCGGCGGTGGCGGTGGCGGCCTGCAGCGTCAACACTCAATCACCAATATGCCAATGACAACGAAACAAGCGCCGCCAACAGCGACGACGTCTTCCTCAAATTCTTCGGGTGGCCAACAAATGTGCGATGATATGATGGCGCCACAGAGCATATGCTTTATTGGCGATGAGGATGATGTGGAGGAGTTGGAACGTAATATAATCGAATCGATGCAGCATACGCGCATCGCCGACTATGCACACCAGCAGCAGCAGTATCAAATGCAGCAGCATCAGCAACAACAACAGCAACACTAYCAACAGCACGGCAGTGACGGCAGCTACGACGGTGGCAACGAGCTATTGCCGCAAAAGTTGCACATAACCAGCGGCAACCTAACCTATCGCATACCATCACCGTCCAGACCYGCTGTCAACGCCAACAGTTTTCAGGTAATGCCCGTCATAAGCAATAAATTAACCGGTATTATATAATTATGCCCGTTACACACTTTAATAGGATCCACGTGATGCGAAAACCGAGAAGGGCTTTTACATTTCGTTCGACGATAACCAACCCAAGCGCCCGAAACCACCCTTGCGTGCGAAACGTTCGCCGAAGAAGGAGCGCAGCATGGATAGCACCGATCACCAGGCGTTGTCCGGCACCAAAATGGAGCCACTCAATCGTTCGCACAGCATCAGCGAAGACAACAACCCAACCTACAATGGTGGCACGCTGTTGCGTCAGTATGCCGGTGGCGTCGGTAATATGGATACGCTTAAAAATGGTGGCAAAATGAATGACATTAATACGGCTACATATAATAAGTACACGGATGCGCCTATACAGTTACGCCATGATGACCTCAATAGCCAAAAAGCGCCCGTGGCGCAACCACGTTCGCCCGTACATCAATTCAGTGTGTCTGCGACGGCTGCGGCACTGTCGTCTTCACCGCCCATAACGCGTAGTCATCAAACTACAAATGCCGCCGGTGCGGGTGGTAACAGTAGTCAGGCGAAGGCGTTGGTCATCGGCACCGATGTGAGCAACTTGGATCGGGTAAGTKTTGGAAATGATTTTGAGTGTTCTGTACAGGGTTTATAAAGTTTGCCACGAAGTTTGTATATAAAATGATCAGCTGACCTGAGTCGATTCAKTTATGTCTGTCTGTGTGTATATGCGCATACTAGKCCCTCAGTTTTTGAAATATCGATCTGATTTTTTGCTCGTGCCATTTTCTCCCCAAGAAGTTGGTGATTTGTCGGAATCGCCGATATCGGACCACTATATCATATAGCTGTCATACAAAATAAATGATCAGCATTAAGTGCTTGTATAAAAAACTTTTTTCCTTTTTCGAAATATCTTTACGAAACTCGACATGAGTTAATATCTAAGGCAGTTATGTAATCTCCGAAGAAATTATCCCGATCGGAATACTACTTCATATAGCTACCATACAAACTGAACAATCGGAATAAAGTGCTTGTATAGAAAACATTTTTATTTGACGAGATATCTTCACAAAATTTAATATAAATCATTTTGCGAGGCAGTGATGCAATTTCCGAAGAAATGGCTCAGTCGTTTCACTATAGTATATAGCGATATATTTATTTTTCTATCATGTTAACGAATTATAGAAACTTCTTAAGCAACCCTCTTATTTATTATCTTCCATATAAATTTCAGAGTTCTTTTTTTTTAATTTCTAACATTTTCTAATTAAAAATTCCACATTCCTCTCACACCCAGGAATCGATCGATGAAATGGAACGCCGCAAAGAAAAAATCATGCTGCAGTCTCTACAGCGCCGCCAACAGCAAGAGGAGGCRAAGGCGCGTAAAGAAATCGAGGCGGCACGGAAGCGTGAAATGGAGCGTGAGAAGGAAGAGGAGAAGGCGCGCAAGAAAGAAGAACAAATGGCGCGACGGGCGGCAATTTTGGAGCAACATCGATTGAAAAAGGCCATTGAAGAGGCCGAACGGGAGGTAAGTAAAGTTGAAATATAAAAACAAATTAAATTAACTACTGAATGTTTAGCTTTT